CATGAAAAGAGAAAAAGTAGTCATGAAATTTATTTGGAAAAATAAGAAACTCAGAATTTCCAAAACAATCCTTAGAAAAGCAAAGCAGGAGGCATTAAGATACAAGATCTTAAGTATAATAACAAAAACAGCATGGTATTAGCACCAAATCAGGCAAGAAAACCAATGGAACAGAATAGAAGGATGGAACAGAAAAGAAGAAATATGAATGATCCACAAATATATGAAAAAGTGTTCAATATCTCTAGCAATTAAAGAAATGCAAAATAAAACTACACCAAGATTCCATCTCTCTTCAGTTGCAATGGCAATAATCAAGAATACAAGTAACAATGAATTTTGGTGAGGATGTGGGAAAATAGGTATATTCATACATTGCTAGTGGAACTGCAAATTGATGCAACCACTCTGGAAAGCAATATGGAAATTCTTCCAAAAATTTGGAATGGAACCATATTTGACCTAGTTATCCCACTATTCAATATATATCCAAAGGATTTAATATTGGCATACTATAAGATGCAGACACATCAATGTTTATGGCAGCTCAATTCAATAGCCAGTCTATGGAAACAAGCTAGGTGCCCTTTAACAAATGAATGGATAAAGAAAATGTGGTATATATACACAATGGGATATTACTCAGCCATAAAGAATGACCTCAGGACATTAGCCAGTAAATAGATGGATCTGGAAACTATCATGCTAAGTGAAATACACCAGTGCCCAAAAGCCAAAGGTTGTATGTTTTCTCTGATATGTGGAAGCTAACACACTACTGAAATTCAGTAGATTGTACAATGGGGTATGGAGGGAAGGAAGTGGGGTTGAAAAGGAAAGACAAAGGGATGAAACTGATATGACTTTCCTATGTATGCACATGAAGACACCACAGTGAACCCCACCATCATGTGCATATATAGGAATTGGGTCCTAATTAGAATAAGACATATTTCATGCTCGTATAGTCACATCAAAATGGATTCTACTGTCATGTATAACTAAAAAGAACCAGTAAAAATCTTTCTTGAGCCTATCATGTAAACCTGGCCTTCCTCTGAGTACCACGGTCATAGCAGTGAATGACAGGAGAAGCCCTGGCCTTGTGTGGCCTGCTTTCTACTGAAATAGATGTCCTGGGCTTTCTGTATATCACACTTAAATTTGGATCTTTGCTCAAATTAAATTATTATGAATGCGGTTTCAGACCCTTCATATCTCTCTGTCATTTTCAACCTTATTCAGATGTCATATTCAACCAGAAGTGAACATGAAATCAGGAAGTGTCTGCAGAGAATCCCCAAGAGTTACTCTGAATCCTAGGCTTGTTATGGTGGGTGAGATGCAATTGTAGTTATTGATCGAACATGACCTTCTGCTCCACAAGGATCTCTCAGTTACTTGACGTACCATAGTACCCTCCAGGTTCATGTTTATCTCTGTTGTTAAAGAAGTTGCCATCTTTTTAAGGCTTACTAGTGTTCCCATGTGTATGGTGGACATGTGGCTGGACTGGACAGGGGGCTGTTCTGAAGAGTGCTTAGGTGAGCTTAGGTGCAGATGTCTCTTTGGCGTACTGTTTCATTCCTTTTAGGGATACACTGGGTAGTAGGATTTCTGGGTCACATGCTAACATTATTTTAATTTTTTGAGAAGCCTCCATACTTTCCATAATTTTCATATGTTCCCAGGGCAGTGAGCAAGGGTTCTCTTTCCCCCACTTCCTGCCAACACTTGTTATCTTGTCTTTCTAATCACGGTCAATTTAGGAGTGAGGTGATATCTCTCTGTGGTTTAAATTTGCATTTCTCTGATGACTGGTGATATGGCTGCTCTCATATAAGCTGGAGCCATTTATAATTAATAATGCAAATTTCCCATTTGGACCTTAAATGAATCTCATTTCATTAGCAAATTTCAGTCAGGAGCGTTAGGGGCCTGATGAAGAAAGCAAGTCTGTACTGACCTCGGCCAAGCTCATGTTAGAACAAGGGAGGGAAGAGGACTTGGAAGGAATGACATCATGCTGAAATTCCTATGTGGGCTCTTTTGTAACCTCCTGGTGTTTTGCTCTTGAACTTGTCCTCCTGTCCACATGCATGTGGGTCCTCATCCACAGTCTCTTTAGACCTACTCACCTGCTTCTCCACCAGGCTGAGTAGGAACACTGGTTATAAATTCAGTTGGGGATAGAAAAAGTCTGCCTGTGCACCCTGTAGAATTTGTAGTTATGAACACAGGTATGAACAGTGACTGCGCAGTCATCTGCACCTGTGAGGTCTCCCAAGAGCAAGAGTCATTTTGGAGTGCAATGCTGTCTGTCCATCACAAAGGGATGAGGGAGAGTGCTGTGTGTCTGTTCACATAGAAGATAATTATTGAAGATCATCGTGAAAAGAAGGAAAAACAGCTCCCAGGACCAAAGAATTCATGAAGTATAATAGTCACCTTCAACAAAACAAGGCTACAAAGTAATTGGGCTTTCCTATGAGATGTGAGACACAGAGGATGAGACATTGAAGGTGAGCTCTGTTGTTTGACTGGCTCGCCTTGAATGCAGCTGTCAGACCAGCATTTGGCAAAGAAGCCATTAGTGCAGAATTCTTTGGAGTGTCAGAGTCTTTCTCTAATAGCTGGCTTCACTCTGGAGAAGCTCTAGCTTGCAGCTCATCAAGAGCCGCCCCACTGAAGACTGGTAATTGCCTGAGCCTCCGCTGAGAAATTCCGCAGCCCTCATCAATGTGCGCAGTTCATATTGTATATTTTCTCTTCTGTCATGTTGACAAGGGTCTGGATGCGCCACTTCCAAGTCTATTCCAGATGTTGCCCTGGCCTCCTGAGAACCTCTGGAGCATCAGGTGGCCTGATGAAATTGAGAGGGCTGGCTGGCTCTGAAGACGGGAGGGATTCAGCCAGCGTTGATGGAGAGCTCAGCTGTAAACAGTCCACCATCTGAAAGGAAGATCAAGAATCCTAACCCTCCAGGTGGAGCAGTCAGGGGGTGCCCTGGGGTGGGAGGACATGGCTTGTTGTTTCGTTAGTTCATTCATTCATTCAGGGCCTGGCTGTGTACCAGGTGCTAGATGCCCCATGGACATGTAGGGCAGGGCTAGGTGGTGCACTCCTGGATGTTTTCTCATTAGGTCATTATGTATTGTAGTCTTCATGATGACTTTTGCTTGGTAGAAGGGGAAATTCAGAATCTAGGCATCTCTGGTTCTGGCTTGTTATGAATTGGGCAACATTCTCAGGACTTGGGACATTCTGAGAAGTAAAATTTTAATTAGCTTTTGCTGATATTTCTGGATTTTGACTTAAAGAAAAGTCACCCTTCAGAGTAATAAGAATTAAGATTTGCACATTTAAAATATGACTTCCCTGATGGAACACAAATTTACATAATTATCTGACTTGATTTTGATAAATAATCAAAAATAATTGCTAAAAACCCATCACATATTTTCTTCTGATATCGTATCTGCTCATAACATCCTTTAAAATTAATGTTGAGCAGATAACTGTGTCATGCACAGGGTCCCAGGAGCTCCCCCCAGGAGAAGGTGGTCACAAAGATGGGAACAAACTTGGGTAGTCTCAGAACCCCGGCTTTGAAGGCCCTGAGATGCAGGCTGCATGTGGCCAAAAGTCCAGACCAGTCCTTGGGGAGGAGCTGGGAACCTGAAAGGCACCTGCCCTGATGGAGAAGGGGCTAGCGAGATTCCACCTGGGCAAATCTCCTGCAGCTCAGTGCCCCTGTAGCAGCCGCCTCTAGATGGTGCTGGTGTTGGCTGTGATTGCTCACCTACTGTGTGTTCTCCTACCTGGGCAACACATCCCAAGCTCCTTCCGAGTTGCTATTATCAAAGGCAAGGCAGGGTCTAGTACAAGGCAAAAGGATTTCTGTAAGATGCTAATTTAATTGCTGAATCTGAAAAAGTCTCCTTTTCAATCTTTGTATTTCAGAATTTGTAGTGCTATGGGACAAAGAGAAGGAATGTGTCTCACCCTGGGGACATCCCCTGAAGGAAGGTCCTAATCAATGCTTCACCTCCTGTGAGAGACTGAAGGTGCAGAGATGCAGTGCCTCTTTCTCTCCTTTCTCTTCACCCTCAGTTCCTTTCCCTTCTGAGAGGTGCCTCATTTCTCAGTGATGGTGGCTGCATTTCACAGTGCCTCAGGAAGGGTCAGCCATAGCCGTCTACGTTAACGCTAAAACCTTTCTTGTGTTTTTCCGCAGTGTCTACAATAGGAATCGTTCATTCAAATCGTATTCAACTTCCTAGAAATAAAATATGAAAGTGGGAGAGTGCTCCAGTGCTCTCTGCGATCCGATGCAAATGTATGCAAATTTCTCATATTAGAATCATTGTCTCCTTGTCATCCTCGCACGGGGCACATCAAAGCCATATGACCTGATTTTTGCACCTGCTGTTTAATTAAATTTACAAGGCAGACACACTCTCCACTCCCGGTGATATACAAATCCGTTTTTACAACCACAGCTTCTAATTTACAAGGTAGTTGACTGCTGAGTTTCACCATCAATAGCTGGCCAACTGCTCTTTGTTATGCTGAAGATTAAAAAGGGAAAAATGGCCATCATTTGGGCAGATGGATTAGCAGAAATATTAAAAGTCATTTCCCTCTTCCATCCAACTCTGAATTTTTGGAAAGCTTTATTGAGGCATAATTGATATATGACAAATTGCACATATTTTGTGGATGTATCTGAAGAAGTTTGGACATATGTATACACCCATGATATCTGTCATGAAGAGGCAAAGGAAGATAGAAAGTGGGGTATTTAGTGTCAAAGAAAGAACATTTTTGCTTCTGTGGATTCCCCTTCATATTCACGAAAGGATAAGATTCAGACTCTTCTGTAGCTGGGTCTGCTGGCTACAGAGGGAGCAAGAAGTCCAGCCTGCACAGGAAAGCCAAAAGCTTTACAGCTGCCCTAGCTGCAAGTGTTTCTATGAGAATAAGTTCTGCCTAGCTGTCTGTCCAGGAGGAGTTGTTAGTCTTGACACTGTATCTATCTCTACAAAATGGTGAAAGGCAACAGTAAAGGCTGGGCTCTCAGTTCTGTGACGGGTAGCTATTTTTTTCTTGGGCTTATATGGTGTTCTTCTCTTTCTAAGAGCTGGTGCACAGACGTGCATTTGATCTCTCCAAGAGATGGCTCAGAAAGCAGAGCCAAAGCAAACATTTTCAGAGAGCTTACAGTGAGAAAATAGTTCTTTGTCTTTCTCTACTGATTTACCTAGCCTAAGGACCTCAGTGGCAGAATACTGCCTCTTAAAATTATTACAGAGAAAATAATTAATACAGTTTATTAATTTTCACACACGTGCTTCTGAAATCTTAAAGACCCTCAAACCCCAACATTTTAATGAAATGCTTGAAGCTTTGTCTTCTGATAAAAGAAAGTGAACTTCTGTAGTCCTGCCCATAGGTGGCGCGACACATTCACGGAAGCAAAGAGCTCTGCAGACACGTTTGGAACAGTCACAGGAATAGCGCTGGAGCTGCAAGGAACTGTGAGACATATGGGTTGAGTCCCAGGCCTGCCCAAGAATAACTTGGAAGAAAATTTTGTTTTCTGGCAATACAGATGCTAACACACCACAGAACCTTTAAAAAGAATAAATATGTAGATGGTTCATAGCTTTCCGAATAATTTAACCTTCCTCCCAAAGTTAAGATAGCATCAGGGGAATAAAATAATAAAAGCACCCGATCCCTGCCATGGGGGAGAAACAGTTTGGTGACCACGACATTCCCAAGAAGCACTCGTCCATTACATTCACTTTAATTATATTTTATTATTTCAGCATCCATTGGAGAGGGGAAGTGTGAATTTATCTTAAGATGAGTTAATTCTTGATGCATAAATACTATTTAAATGTGGAGTTCTCTATGCAGAAAAAGTCATTGCCTCAACTCCTGACATTTGGCTCCTTTGTTCCGTGGGAGGGACTGTGAGTAGTCAGAGCAGCGCCACTAGAACATCACATACCTCAGCAAGACTCTGCTGTCCCAGGAGAGCTCCATCGGTTCTGAAAACCAGATTCACAAAGCTAGTTCTTATAGCTCAAGTTGAAGCTTTACCTTTAAGATAATTAGTATCTAAAGTAGAAGGGGAGCTTCAACTTAAAAGCATAGATTTCTTATTACTGATGACTAATTATGAGGTCTTTGGACCTACCTGTGCCTGTTTGTTGGTGCTGGTACTGGTTGAAGTTATTCCTGATGGATGGACCTGTTCAGCAGAGGTGGGCTTGGAGAAATGCAAACAAAACACACAGAAGACAATTGTGACTTGATACAACTGCAAGGTCTTTTTGAGTAATATGATACTTCTGCAGTAGAGAGCATTCTACAAATGATGCAAGATGAAGTAAGCTCTGAACACATTTCCCTGTAGCCTTTGAAAGGTAGACAGGGACAACAAAATTGATTTTACTTTATCCTTAAATTAAAAAAGGTGTATTTTGCTACCCTAAAAATGTCTTCAAAAGATGGACAGACTGGATAGGGTCATATCTAATGCGTTTCAGATGTAAACAAATAGCATTCCTGCAAAGAAAAGACATTTGAGAGTGATTTGTAAGATGGCATCAAACTACTGTGGTTTCTTTTGTTACTGCTTTTATTTCATTATCTTCTCAAATGGAAAAAGAAAGAAAGAAAAGAGGAAACCAAGACTTAATGCTTATTCTATTCTAGGTTTGATGTTAGTGACTGCTTCTTGATATACATACATGTATATACACACAAAAATATATATTTACACAAATGGGTATTCCTACACATTTACATAGTAGTTTATGGCATATATGTACATATATATTTTTGATGGATGGATACAAAAATTAATATATATATATATACAATATTAATTATATACATACCTATATATATATATATATATATATATATATATATATATATATATATATATAAACACACACACACACACATATGTTTTGTATTTCTTGGGCCAGGCACAGAGCCTGAATTGTACTAAGGATCATTGAATGCTCATGGTTGTGGCTAATATATTCTTATTTACTCTATTTCCATTGACCAAAGCAGTGAAGTGACTTCCAGATGCTGGCCACTGAGTGAGTTTAGGAAGCCCAGAACTTGATAACATGGCCCTTTTGTTTTTCTCTTACAGAGTTTGTGCCTGAATCACTAGATGAACCTGCACATGTGTAATCCTGATGATCACTGTTCCTCTCTTTCCTAGTGATCAATCTCTTCATTTGCAAAAGGGATGTAGAGAACTCCTTTGGAAGGTTGGGGGTTAGATGAGACCACTTCTGAGGACTCTGCACCCCCTGGGTCCCTGCAGAGCTCCTGTGGAGGGGGCCATTATCACGTGGACAGACATCCCACTTGCTCTGCACGATTTCCCTGAACCTCTGTCATTAAAGCTGCCCATGGCGGCAGCAGTAGCAGCTCCATTCCTCAGAAGAGGACACGGGAGTCTGTACCTTCATGTCGTTCTCTTGTCAGGTGGTAAGTTCTGTCAGTAGTGCTCATAGCTGCCCAGGCCACTCAGGATGCTAGGCTGCTTCCCATAACAGACACGCTCCTACACCTTGGCCCCGCCACTCTGACCAGCACCCCTGCACTGTGTGCACAGCAGGGAGCTACCCCAGTTCTGAACGTCATGCTCTCTCTTCTCGGAATGAGCTCTTTTTCCAAGTGGTACCTCTCAGGGGTTGGAAGCCTCTCCTTGGCCCATCCCTTTCCATCACATTTTAGCACAAAAAAGCAACTGTTGTTTGGCCAGGTCTGTGGAGCTATCAGAATACAAGACTCAGTTTCTGGGTGTGTTGCCACTAAAACACTCACGTTCCCGTCCAAGGGTCAGCAATGTTCCTCATGGCAAAGGCAAAGTGGCTGGTGCAACACGTTCGCAGTCCCCAGGAGGTGAGCGATGGGCAGGGGAGACCCAGGGGTCAGCCGCGCTGCTGGGAGGTACACAGAGGCCGATGTGTGGCCGGCACCTAAGGTCATCAGGAGAACCATCAAGAGGGGACTGTCAGAGACTCCAGAGAAGAGCTGCTCTTCCTCTGACCTCCTCCCGCTGAGTCCATCTTCATGGGCCAACTGAAGGGGCTCTCCACAGAGTAGTGCCATGTTCCAGAATCCAGACCCAGTGGGAAGGCAGGCAATGGAAAACCCAATTTCTGTTTTTCAGCACAAAGCATGGTTGGTGTTGTGAGGTGCACAACAGCCTCTTCATCCCCCAAATGGGATATAAATCTCTTGCTGTGATTTTAACTACCTAAGCAGGGTGCCCCAATATTCCACAGCACGTGGCCTCACCTAAGTGAGATGCTCAGCCACAGGGAGAGGACAGTGACCCATCCGACACCTTGGGATGCTGGGAAGTCTGATGAGCAGGCCCAGGAAGCTCTTCCTAGACTACCAGGGCAGCACACATGAGTGACTGTGATGGAACTTCCTCGTTCTCTGGTGAGTGGCACGTATTAGGGACAGAGCCCTAATGACACTTGACTAAGGACACATTATAGTTATTCTCCATATTGCATGGTTCATTTTTTTAAGTAGAGGGTATGATTGGGCCAACTGGCCATGAGACCTTTGAGGAGGGTGAGGAAAGCCCTGTCTGTGGAGGCCAGGTGGGCTGTACACGTCACAGAGCCGGAGATTCTGCTCACCACGCACTGGCCAACAGCAGCTTCTTCCCTGGGAAGGGGAAAGTGACAGGTGCTAGCCCCCCTTGTCAGTTGGAGAAGGTGGGTGCCTCTGGTGCTCCTAGTCCCACCCAGAGGCTGCAGTGTTAGGACCACAGAAAGCAACAAGCACCCTGGGTTAGAGCACACAGGGGCTCACAGGCCACTGGCACCGGCACCAGCAGCCACGCTCAGGACTATTCTGGTCTCCAGTGCTGTCTAACCTTTCCCTCTGGACGCTCCTGTGCGTGTAAGGTGTGTGGAGACAAGACCAGGATGCAAATCTCGGTCCCACTCTTAAGTGAAGATCCTATGTGTTCAGTTCCACGGTGTGTGCCTCAGTGCCTTCACGTCTAGAGAGGGTGACCATCTCTGCATCGTGAACATGGCGGGAAGATGGAATCAGACAGAATTCCGCCCATCCCGAGTGTAGTGTGTGCTTTGGGACCATTCTTATGAGCTGTCCTGCTTCCTTGAGGGGAAGGAGCATTTTTATGCATCTTCATGGTCCTTGCCAATATCAGATGCTCAATAAATTTCCATTAAATGATAAGAAGGTGACACCCGGGTCCTGCTGTCAGGTACATTATAGAACAAAGGACTTCAGAAAAGATCATCTCATCTGTGCATAAAGCCTGTGGAAGACACTCACAAGGGTCAGGTTTTGGGGTTGTACAGGCCCTAAAATCTCAGTTCCTTTATTTACTGGTTATATAACCCAAAAAAGATAAGCATGAGCCCCAGTTCCCAGGAGAATATAGCTCAGCATTTTAGACGCCCAGCGTCTAGAGGGGCCCAGGGGGGAGCCCTGTGAGAGCTGCTGTGTGTGTCGTGTGCCTCTTGTTGGTCAGTACTGCCCAGCTGTGTGCCCAGAGCCACCAGTGCCTGGGACCCTGAGCTCCTGAGCCTGGCCTCTCCCACGTATAATGCCCTCACGTGGATCTGTGGAGGACTTGAGACCACTCAAGGTAGGAGTCCGTCCTGCAGGCCTGTGCAGACAGTGATCCGGCCTCCTCCAGACCTGGCCAGATGGTCAAAGGACTCGCTGCCTCACAGGGCTGTTAATTCAACCCAGGAAAATTCACTTCGGAAAGCCTACTTTTATTTTAGGAATCCATGTTCCTTATCATCTTTCCAAATCAGTCTTTCTACTGATCTCTAGAAAGGCAGAATTCTCCCCACCACCTGTCAGTCTTCTAATGTCTCTAACATTTCCATTTGTGAACGACATTGTGGGGACTGGGGTATTTTGTGATCATTGTTCTAACTGGACAGCACCCTCTTCTCCCTAACCCAATCCTCAAGGAGCGTGCATTTAGAAACAGCGACTGGCCCCACTGCTAAGGGAGGAAAACAGCCGGAGCAGAGGCTTGGATTTCTCCTGGGCTTGGAGCTGCTTCTCTGCAGCCAGGTCCGGCTCCATGTCCCCTCAGGCCATTGCACTGCTGAAACCTGGGAAGGCCCTCTATCAAGATCCCAAGGCTTGCTCTGCCTCCACCGCCCTTTGTTCACAGTTGTCCCTAAATTCAGAGACTCAGCCATCTACTGACCACTGACTCTCAGGGGCAAAGTGCATGAGCATTCCGAAGTCACCCTTGTGTGTCTTTGAAACTCTCTGGCCCGTTGGAAAGGTGTAGAGAAGTCATCCATCTGAGGAAACCCAGTGCCCGTGAAGGCAGCAGGGCCACTTCACTGTACCGAGGGTGGGGCTGTGGCCAGTTAGCTGTTTTCTTTCCACCTGACCATCTGGGCTCAGATGGAACCGGGCAAGGAAGCCGTGTAAACCCACAGTGAGGCCAATTCCAGCGAATCTTCCAAGGCTCTCAGAGTTTCCCTGCCAGTGCTTTTCAGGGCACCCTGATGGCAGCTAACCAGCCCTTCCCATCCTCCCACCCTTCAGCCCCAGAGCCTTCCTATGGAATCTCCTTCCTCAAATGCACATGGTGGGAGGTAAGTCTGCTACAAACCCTGCTTCCCAAAGTGACCTCCCTGTTACCCAGAACACAGGCCGCATGGCAAGAAGACTTTGGGTGAGTTTTGGTAGCCAAGCTCTGGGCTTCAGTGAACCACAGGGCCACCATCATGACCGCATCGGAAGCTATCTACACGTTACCAGTTCAGTTAATCCACGGTCATTCTTTGATAAAACAGCTTGTGCGGTGCTAGAGAAATTGGGAGAATGTGGCAGGATCCAATTTATATTCAGAGTGGAGAGCTCCTTATTTCAGATGAACTCTTGCTCTGGGTTGCAAACCTATGAGGTTTAGAAAGAACTATCATAAGTCGAATTTTGAATAATATGGCTTGGGTGTGGACATAAAAATCATCAAAACAGTGTGAAGCAGGATGCTTTAATAGGAAGTGATGGGTTCAGAACCATTGCTGAGTTTGAGGAAGAAGAGGTCTTTGTGCTTCAGAGGTCAGAGAAGGGATTTTAGTGAGGTGCCATGCCACTCACCCAGATGGAGGGGGACAAATCCCAGGCAGGGTTGTGTAGGGTCCTAGCTCCATGTTGCCGCACCCCAGTTGCTGGGGGAGGCGAGATCTGCTTTCTCTGGGCTTTCTGGAGCAGGCTTGCTTTCTGTTGCAAGTGCTTGAAGATTAAACTAATGAGCTTTCCTGCTGCTGAGGGCGGGGGGCCCATGCCTCCTCCCTGGCACCCGGCCCTAGTTATTTTTCTTTTAAATAAAGAAACAGGCTGTCTAACATCAGGTGGAGACCTGGGTGTCATGCGCTGCCTCAGGTTGGAGCACATCTTTGCCTCGGGTGACAGATGGCCCCATCACACTCCATCTCCCAGACCTCTGGCCCCAGCCACACAGCACATGTGACACTCAAGTTGCTGACACTCTGTCATCCATTCCCATTAATGTATGATAGAACTCAATCCACCCAGCTGCCAGTCCAGTGTTGGGCAGAGTTGCAGGGAGCAAGGAGAAACACTTGGATGCCTCAATGACCTGCTTTTGTCCCCTCCCAGGCCAAACTGCAGCAAACATTTGTCCTCAGCATAGCAATATTTTGAATTCACAGTTGATTATGATGTTCTGATGTGACCGTGCTATGTCATTTATCAAATCCCGGCTCCTCTTTGGAATGCTGGCAGGCATGCCACATATTGACTTAAAAGTCTCAGCAAAGCACAACTTTGTTTTTGTTTAATGCTACTAAATTTGAAGGAGGTGTGTTTCTGGTGGGTGTGGATTCTGAAAGAAAACATTGCCTATTTTCGTATGATTCTGTATGTCAGGTTGTTATTCTCCATTCTGTTGTTTATTGAGTGCTTCACTTTTATTTTTTGCTTTGTTTTGCTCCTTGTAGCTTTGCAATTGAGACTAGTGTCAATTTTAAGACTCTAGAATTCTGTTTTTGTTGTAGGCTTGCAGAAAAGAATCACCAAGCTATTGGTGCAAGAAGTTCTTAGCGTAGTGAAAAACCACTGAAGGACTAGAACTTACTTTTCACTACTCCATAGTAACAGAAGGAATTTTATGATGTCCTCTTAGAATAATGCATTTCCCAGCTCTGCCACCAGCTCACGCTGCCATGGTCCTCAGCACTGACTAATGAGGTAGAAATGGAGTTGGGTCTGACTTTGGTTTGACTCCTTAGATGGAGGGCAGGATCTTCTCCCCACCTCCACCCCGTCCCTGTGTGTGAAGGTACTGCATGAACCATGAGGGCCAGGGCAGTACCACAGGATGGTGGAGCAGGGACCTGGGGCACCTGGTGCTGGAGATGTCTCATTTTCCTGGGATGACTGCAGCACTCCAGGCAGAGTGGCTTGGAAATGTTGCCTTCCTTCCCTCTTGGCTGTTTTCCTCTCTCCTTCTCTTCCTTCCAGTATTTATCAGATGCTTCCCCTCGGCCCATGCTGTACTGGGAGCTCATCCTTGAACATACCACACTTTAAATCTGGTGGAGGAAAAAGACATGCCTTCACAATTTGGGGAAAGTCAGACGGTCTCAGTGAGGGAATCAGCTTGTATGTGTGGATAGAATTGCTCCTGAGGGCAGGGGGATCAGCCCATGCAAAGATCGAGAGAGAGAGAGAGAGAGAGAGAGAGAGAGAGAGAGAGAGAGAGAGAGAGAGAGAGAGAGCGCAAAAGAAGGGAGGTAGGGTCCTAAGTGTGTGATGGTGAAAGAGGGTGGGGAGGAGGGGAGAGAAGGGGGCTGTAGGAAGAGGAGTGGAGGAAAAGGGAGGGAACAGAAGACCACAGAGGGGAGGGGAGGAAGAGGAAGGATAAAGGAGGGGGCGAGAGACATAGGAAGGAAAGAGAACAGGAGGGAAGAAGAGAAGGGGAAGGAGGAGGGGAGAGACCAGACTGGCCTTGGTGAGGTCAGGCACAGCCCGGGGTCGTTCAGGTGCTGGGGCAAATGTGCAGCCTCAGCTGTCTCACCAGGGGAAAGGGAGGCTTCATCCTGGAAACCACAGCCAGTTCTCGCAGGGTTTCAACATGAAGTGACGCACTGAGACGTGCATCGTGAACAGTGCCACTGCTGCCATCTGTGATGCCAGGAGGCGGCCAGTGCAGGTCGGGAGGGTTGCCCCTCCGCACAGAGCCTCCAGGCTGGGTGCTGGTGTCCTACTCCATGACGCTCCCCCCGGGCTCCCTTGCTTTTGTCTTCCCCCCTTGCCCTGAGTTTGTTCTGTTCTTCTCTGTCCACAATTTCCATGCCCCTCGCCCCACTCTGCATTCCTGGGACTGTCGGGCAGGAGGTGCTCACTCCCTTTCCTGAGGCCCCCTTTCCCCAAGGCCAGGTTCTCAAGAGCCACCCAGGTGGCGTGAGATCTGCTGTCAGCACCTGCGTGTTTCCTGGGCAGGATGGAGTGCTTCCAGGGCTGTGTGGCCCTCAGCGGGGCCTGGGGAGCCGCGGGACGTAGTTGGGAGAGGCTTCAGGGCCTCAGGGTGCACAGAGCTGGGGAGTGAGTGGCTGGGGCGCTGACCCTACCCTCGTCTCACCTCCCTGGGGGAGATCATCAACTCTCTCTCTATGGAAGGTAAGTTTCTGAAGAGCAGCCCACTGATAAAGCCCGTGGTCTCCACCTGAAGCGTCCCCTCCAGCCTCTGCTGCTCCTGGAGACAGCGGCGACGTCAGGAGGTGAGTGTGGGAAGGTGAGGTCACTGGGGCCTGGCTTTGAAGGGTGCATTGTCCCTGTCCGCCCTTCTTCCTGCTGGCCGCCAGGTGAGCGGGTGTGTTCCTCCGCCGTGAGCTCAGTGCCTCACCTGAAGCCCCCAGAGGTGGGGACAGTGGCTGTGGACTGAAACCTCCAAAGCTCACGCTGCTTTTCCTGTGTGTTTGCCACAGGGACAGACAGCCGAGTGACACAGGGTTGGGAAGCAGCGCTGGGGAGAGCCCCTCACAGAGCACTAACAGCGGTTCTGCGCTCTGCAGCCCGACTGCCCAACACCCTGCTGCCCGCTGGCACTTCCCTCCAGGGCTGGATTTGGCACTGGTCCCACAGCCCTGTAAGCTCCTCCCTGGAGAATCCAGCGCTGTCTACCTGCTCCACCCTGCAGCTCCCTCCAGGAGGGAAAACTCTCTTTTGTCCCTTTTATGAGCCGTACTCTCCCACCCTCCCCTTTCCTTCCCCAGCCCCTCTTTCTTACTGGCTAACGTGTTCTGATCTCCAACACAGAGCGCGTTTTCCGCTTCTTGAAGGAAAATGCCAGGACCACTGAGCTCTGGTCACCCGTGGATGTGACGCCGCGCTGTGGGTCTCCGTGGGCCTCTGTCACCACCTCCTCAGTAGGTCATTAGCCCTGAAGGCAGAGTTAGGCCGGTGGCCCCAGAGCCGGTGTTGACAGCATGACAACGCCAGGGCTTCCCTGCGCCTCCTGTGACATTTCCTTCCTTTGTTGGCTGCGTTATAATGGTGGAAGGAAAGGATCTGCTCTTTCAAGGGGACATTAGAAGGTTCATTTTCCTTGTCTTCAAGGAAGAGTGACCAAGTTCATGGTGGTGAATGGCTGGAACTTTGGGCTCAGTGACACAGACATTATGGTCTGTGGTGGAAGAGCAAGAAGGGAGGGAGGAATAGAGAGGGGGACAAAGAAGCAGCATGAACCACAGGGACAAAACTGGGAATGGGGCGGGGTGGACAGAGGAGAGGGGTGACCACCGAGGTGCCAGGTGAGCAGTTCTTGAGGAAGTGACCCTAGAGAGAGAAAAGGCTGCAGATTGTACCTGGTGCCTGAGTGCACAAGGGTCTGTGGCAAGGGACAGCACAGGGCTCCCCTGGCCCTGCACAGGTCAGCGCCTGCCCACAGGGCCACAGGCCCAGGGGCCTGCCCAGAGGCCTGCAGAAGACTTCAGGGAGAGAGGAAACCTCTCCACTGAGTGCTCAAGGAAATCCACTCCCACATGCCCTGGCTTAGTTCCCATCCGGTCCTCATGAGCTCCTCCCTGACCTGCAAGCCCTACTCAGTTGTGGCTCAGATACAAGGCGTGGATGCCTGAGAGGGGACTCGTTGCTAGGGAAGCTCTCAAGAAGCAGAGCATGACCTTTGTGCTGGATCGGTGGCGTGTGTCTTCTGTTTCCACTGGGCTCCTTTATGATGGAAGGGTGGCACTGCATGTCTTCTACTCGGAGCCATGACCAGCCAGGTGGGGACTCCTCAGGCTGCCCCAGAGGGCGCTGAAATAGAGGTAAAGGAAAACAGGAACCATGGGAGGAAGAATTTGGACAGTTTGCATATAACCAAGGGCTGTGCCAGTCCTAAGCCGGGACTAGAACATCTCTGTCTGCAGCTCAAAGACAGGCTCCAGGAGTAAGGAGCTGGCCGCAGCTCATGGACAGAGTCAGAGTCGGTCTCATAGACTTTACACCTATACTTTAATGCATGAAAATCAAAGGTAAGCTGGTCAAAAACTGATTTGAAACTATGCCATAAAATACCTCCAAAATGCAGAGCACTTCTGGAGAAAAACTCCCTTGAAAAATTGCCTCAGCTGGAAAAGTGTTTATAAATAAAAGACAAAGGTGGAATCTCACTGCTGAGAAGATGCATCAGAAGACCCAGTGACTAATATAAATTATAGTAAAGTAACTAGGGCCAGTGGGAAAAAGTCTAACATGTAAGTATGCTTAATATATCCAAAAGAAGCAGTCAATAAAAAGCAAGATATTATGCAATAAAAATAATTCAAAAAACCACCTTTAATAGGCTTTCTTCAAAGTTAAAAATTCCCTTAGTCTTCAGATAGAAAAATATCACCACTTCATAAGTAGAATCATTTTTCAAAACCCAGACATAGACCTTGCCATAAAACTGTACATGATTTTCAGAGGAAATCTTATAGAACAACCAGAGAAGACTGGATCAGTTATTGACAAAGGAATAATAGTGAGAGCGAAAGATGGACCTTGGTGGTGTCATGCAAGTTTGCAAATGGTCCATCCATATTTGCATTTCCAGAAGAAAAGGAAATAATGAAATAATCATGGTATCATTGAATGGTGTCATTGAAAGAAGCCACTCTTACACATTGGGATGGGACCCTGCTTGGGCCCCCATCCCCTCCTCCCTGAGGGTAAACGACATGGTACAGTCAGGCCGTTGACGGGATAGCATTTAGTCCTCAGCCCTACACATGACGATAGGTCCTGAGGAGGGAAGGCCCCGTGGGTCCTTCCCACTGCCACGCTGCTTCCTGTCTACTTGGGGAAGGTGAGCAGCTGCGGCTGGCTCCCAGGGGAGGTCGAACATCGCATGCTGGTCCTGGCTCTGCGGGCTAGTCCCAGAGCCACGTTCACAGGCTGACTTCCCAACATCCTCTCAGTAACTCA